ATTTTCACTAGATTTTATACTTTTATTTAATTAATTATTTAAAAAATATTAAAAAATAAATTTTTTATTTTTTATTAATTATTGTTTATTTATAAAATCACAAATACATATATGTCTAATAGCAAAAAAAATTAGGTATAAATGTATAATTTCAATCAGAAAATTTCTACCACATTTAAGAAACAAATATTGCATTGTGATATTTTACACTTATCTATAATTTTATTCATTATAATTTCAATTGATTTGTTTTACATTTTATTTTTGCATTTCATAAATCAAATTTATTGCGACATACATATAACAAAAAAATCGGCACACCGATTAGATCGAATTCTAATCACTTTCAAAAAAATAAAGTATTATCCAGATCTGGATTTAATTAACTTATACTTATATCATGCATCAAATTGATGCATGATATTTTCATGGATTTATCAGGCTTTTATTTGGTAAAAGCTTTTTAAATTACTTTTAATATATAATTTAATAATGGCAAAAAATAAAAAACCGATAATACTTAAAAAATTAAAATTTTTTAATGACGCATAAGTTATCATGCAATATTCTTTTTGTGAAATACTTAATTCAAAGTTTTTAAATGAATAAATAAAATAAAATAGGTAAATTATGACATTTGATTTTTGTCTCTAAATTTTCTCTTCTATTCCGATTTGAAGCATCTACATTTATCTTGTATCCACTTTGTATCGATTATCTTTATATGTTTTGTTATATTTCATTTATTTTTGAGCAATTAAAAATATTTTTCAAATTACTAAAAAATTACAAAAATAAATGAATATAGCAATAAATATAAAAGTAATATTGTATTGTCATTATAGTTTCGATTATTATCCTACAGATCGCGTGATTTGTTTCTCGCGATCGAAGGATTGTATTATTGTAGAATTCATAAAGGAAAAAAAAAATGAATGCGAAACACACGATAATTAAAACATATATCACTAAATAGTATATTACTGTATGCTTTGCCATAAAAAATTTATATATAAATTTATATATATATAAAGAAAAAAAAATTTTTAATTTTAAATTAAATTTATATATATATAGAATTATTCAATTGATTTAACAATTGAAACGTATTTAATAGTTTTTATAATATTTATTATAATGTTGTAATTTATTATAATATGTATTATAATTTGTTATAATGTTTAATAATTCACGCAGCTGAAAAAATTAAATACATATATTCTGATTGTAAAAATATTTAATAAGCATGACTCGCAAATTTTAAAGTATCTAAATAAAAAAATTAATAAAACTCAATAACAAATTCTGCGATTCGTGATTAATAAATTATAAATGTTTAAGTATTTATACAAAATTTTAATTACAAATACAAAAATCTATAAAATACATTTAATAGAAAAAAATGATGTTTAAACTTTTTGTCAAATAAATAAAAAAATATAATATTTTTTTTATTTATTCTTTCTATTTTGCTTTATTTAAGTTAATAATATTAGAAATTAAAATAAAGAAACAAAATAATTAAAATTATCATAAGTTACCTTAAAGTGATAAATTTTAAATTAAATTTTATTTATTCTTTTTATTTTGCTTTATTCAAGTTAATAATATTAGAAATTAAAATAAAGAAACAAAATAATTAAAATTATAAGTTACCTTAAAATATTAAATTTTATTTTAAGTTAAATTTTATTTTATTTTAAGTAAAATTATCTTAAAGTATATAATTTTATCAAAAGAATCAAAAAATTCTTAATGTAAAACAGAATGATTTTAATATAATTTATTTCAGTCATCGAAATATTCGGAATACAAGCTTCGTTGCCTATATGTAAAATCAAATATATCAAATATATTCATTGTTATATATAAAATTAAATATATAAAATCAAATATATTCCTATATATAAAATCAAATATATTCCTATATATAAAATCAAATATATGAAATATATTCATTACTATATATATTCAAATATGTTCATTGTTTTCTAAACGAAGTACGCAGATAGTTTTCTTATTTTTTTCTTTCAGTCTTAATAATCTAGTTTTCTTGAATTTATTTTCTTTATTATCTTTTTAAATTTTTTCTTTTTTGTTTTTATTTTTTTTATTCAATTAATAATATATGCAATTTACTAATATACAAATTTGAATAAATACGAAATATTTTATGTTATGTATACCTTTATGTTGTATATTTCTGTGAATTTTTTAAATAATTTTTTAAAATTTTATTTACAAAATCAAATATTAAAAAATTCAAAAGTTAAAAATGAGAATAGTTTAATTAATTAATTACATTTATATTAATTATATAATTACATTTATATTTATATTATTATTTTTACATTTACAATATCTTATGGTTATTAATATTTTTTTCAAATTTTTGAAAGGAAGCAGAAATAAAAAAATAGTTAAAATTAAAAATCGATTTTTTTTTCCATTATACATATGTATATATATATATATCATAAGATATGATAATAAAATGTTTAAAAAAAATCCTGTTCATATTAATACAGAAAATAACATTTCAAAATATTCATTGATATCATTTTTAATTTTTTTTAATTATATAATTATTGTATGTTAAAGATTATAGCTGTAAAAAGTTATTTAAAAGAGAACTATATATCTATTGTTATTTTTATAATAAACAATCATAATATTAATGAATTGTCCGTCAATAGTGCAATATTTAGATTTTATATATTTCATTATAAAAAATACTTATCTTTGATATATTTTTCAATTAAATTTTTATATTTGATTCAAATATACAATAAATTTTTAATCTTAAATCGTTTAGAATATTTTTTTTTCTAATAATATTATTAAATAGTCTACTCCGTATACATATCTGCTCAATAAAAATGGATCTACTTATAGTTATAAAATTCCAAACGTTCATATCTCTCAATCCTTTTTTTCGCCTATCATTGAACCATAAATTACCATTTCGTAAATTCATAATTCTTTTATTCATTAAAATTATTATAAAAGTTTTGAATATCAATTTTTTATATAATATATTTAAATTTTAT